ATGCTAATGCTACCATGCTAACGCTACCATGCTAACGCTACCACGCTAACGCTACCACGCTAACGCTACCATGTTAACGCTACCATGCTAACGCTCACGCTTAGGCTCACGCTACCATGCTAACGCTCACGCTATCATGATAACGCTACCATGCTAATGCTACCATGCTAACGCTACCATGCTAACGCTGGAATATTATAATGAGCTAGAGCTAATGAGGTCAGAAACTACCCACTCCTGAAACCTCCTGATTTATCTCCTGGATTCAGACTGAGGCGGCCCACAAAAACATGACCCAGTCATTTTTTTTCACTCTTTTCCTGCTGATAGGCCCTCCACAGTCCCAAATGTACACAATCACATGATTAAAAACTTGGTTTTGCTTAATATGTCCCCTTTAAGACTGCCATATAAACGTTGGTGGTATGTTTAACAACGTTATCAATAAGCATTAGACATCCACTGAGGCTTTTAAAATATTCCTTGAGGTCCTCAAAGGCATCACTGATGGATTCGGGTGCTTTTGTTTGCCCTCAGATTTGATTTCTTTGCAAAATCTGCCACAGATCTTCTTTTTTATTCAAAGGCAAAGCAGTGGGTTCTTTCAGACATGTGGAGCAGTTCAGGGAAGGAGAGGAGACGGTATTTTTTCAGTGACAATTGTCAAAGGTTTGAGGGAGATTTCAGCCATAATAAAAACCAGAGGAACTCCTCCTCTGATCATCTTTGAATGACTGTCAGCGGGAGGCAAAATGGACTTCTTGGCTCATGTGAAGATGTCACTTTAACACAGAAGAAGTATTTTTTAATGGCCCCAAAATGACATCATGACCCTTTTTCGAATAGAGATTATTATTACTGGATGTTTAGTATGCCAGTGAAGGCATCGCGTAAATTCAAAGCCTGTTTTTCAGTATTTCAGAAGAAGTGGCACCACTGAGTCCTGTTGCTTATTCTAACCGTCCAAAATACAAAAGACATGGTGGTAGAAAACACAAATTCCAACTGATCTGGCTTTGGTTTACACCAGTTCTCAATACACATGGAAAACTTGGATAACAATAATACATTTTATTTTTAACCCTGTAATGCCAAATGTATCATATCTGATTCATACGGTTTCTGAAATGTTTTGCGTCTGACACCTTTTGCATAATTTAATGGTAAAAACTTTGTTCAAAATCCTATTGAACACAATCAGATACACCTGATAACAGGGGGCAGAAGACTACACAAAAAATAATCTGGACTTATCACATAGTAATAAATTATTAATATTAAAAATATGTTTTTGTTTTTTATTTTTACATATTTTGTTAAAAGGCCAAATAAGGAATTCAGACAAAAAAAAAAGTAATTTTCTGTTTTTTTTATATTCTTAGATCAGGCTTTAAAGGGTTAAAATTCGCCTTTCATGCCACTCAAGGACACTTTACAAAGACGATCATCATTAAAACAACATTGAAATATACAAAGTCATAAATACATCATAAATAAGAACATCATAAATTAACTAAATAAAAATAGAATGAATAAAACTGTGCAGAATGAGGGGAATTTTAGAGTTAGGGATGGAAATTTTTGCATAGCCTTCACATAAGGCTATCACATAAATCTCCTGGTAAAGTTTTGTATTAGAGAAGCTAACTGCTAACATATAGCTAGCTCTGGACTTGTTTTCAGACTCCAACCTTAGCACATCATCATCATCATCATCTTCATCATTTGATGCCACTAAACAAACTCTAGTGTTTGTCTGGGATCAACGGAAGTTTAAACACCTGTGGAAATAGCATGAATTTGAACGTAAACTCCGAAAATTGGGGCTTTC